GTTTTGGGATTTTTTGTTTGTTTCTTTGGGGTTTTTTTTGGCGGAACTGGGGACTGAACTCAGGCCCTTGCACTTGTCAAGGAAGCACTTATTCCACTGAGCCATCTCCTCAGCAAGATTTTAAAAAGTGATAATAATAAATAAAAACTTTTAAAATGGCTGGGATATACTTCAAAACAAAGACCATCGGTTCATGTCCCTGTACCAAAAAGAAAACTGATCACGAATTAATGTAACATTTTCCTATTTCGATTATATATTTGATTCTCTAATGCACTGCTTCCAATCAAAAATTCACTGACGAACAATCTCGTTTGAGAAATAGGCTTCTTGTAACAGTCATTTACACATGATCTTAGCCAAATGATTTAATTTAATCAATGAAACAGTAATATAGATCAATATTAAAAACTCAGGTCACAAAAAAGGTACATTTGGCCAAAACATACAGTTCACTTTGGTAGGATTTAGGTTTTGTTTACAACAGTGATTTACCTACATAATGACAATATTTATTCCCCAAAGATGTATTTCTGTACCCTTATCTATAAATATGCTTTTCAAAAAAAAAAAAAATACTGAAACTGGGGATGTAGTTTAGTGGTAGAGTACTTGCCTAGCATGAAGAAGAAGGCCATAGGTTTGAGTTTAACAAAGAAATAAAAACATTGGCACATAGTGTATAATACTATGTTTAAGGAATGAAGTAAAATAAATGCTTGAACAATTCCAGAGTTATAGGAATAACATCTCTTTGGCTTAGAACTTGTTTCTGAATACTTTGAATAACTGTTTATAAATGACTGAAATAGCTTGTAAACATAACTATAATACTTTTGTTCTAGTTTACAACTACCCTTTTATCTAACTTCTACTATCAGTCTTATATGTATTCCAGTATCTTTTTGATCTGAAATCTACAGTGAAAACAAAATATTACTAGTACAAAAGTATGATTTTTAAATTTTATTTTAAAGAGGAAAAAACCAAAACAAATAACAAGAACGAAAACAACCACAAAGCAACATAAAATAAAAATTGTACAAAGTTTCAAAACAACAGAAAATTAACAATGGTTGTCATATTACATATTGTTGTCATGCCTTTTCCTAAAAATTTGCATCTCTTTCTCATCCATGTCATGCTTAATGAAAATTTAGGTAATGTATTATCACCTTTACCTAAGTACCTGAGTACCAAACATTAGCCATGGCTAGATAATATATTAAATATCCCAGAAACAATATAATTCTATATCCTATATATGTATTCATTATTTTCCTTGTAATATTTCTGTGGAGCCTGAGACTGAGCTAATATATTGCCTTGAAACAGCTTCTTTCAAAAAGAAAAGTAGGTGAAAAGAAACATAATCATAATATAGTCAGCCTAATACTTCTTAAAACAATCAGTATAATTACTACTGAAGCTCTTTTAAAAATTCTACATCTATGCTATATCTTGTCTCTAATTTTGAAGCAAGATACTTGTTTCACAATAATCATTATCTCTAATCTCCATTATAAATAGTAGTATCATTAAAGAACATTAAAAACAGAAATACTAAACACTCAACCTAAGTTACCAAAGACCATCTGACCTTCAATTATGGCAAACCAACATAAAAGTTACTAATAAAGATATAGTTCTTAAAGACAGACAATATCTTTAACATAAAATGTGTCCATGTACAACTATTTTCATGTACATGCCTGTTATCATTTTTCTAACAAAAATTAGATAACTAAATATTCCTGTTACGTACTATCATACTGATTTCTAAGTACTAAATGATCCATAACAGGCCTCCCCCTAAAAAAAAAAGCCTTTACTAAATTCTCGGTCACTTTTTAAAAAATCTAACCATTTAGTTTATATGATGAGACATTTCAGTAGATGGGGTACTATATTTGTCATATTCATCTCTGAAATAAAGATTAAAAACTCTAGATAAAAGTTTCACAATACAAATATCTTTCAACAGGTAATAAAACATATCACAGTTAACTAAGAATTTTAGAAAGGACAATACAATTTCATCAAAATATTATCAAACACATTAAAAAATGGGGAGGGGGTAAACTATCTTCTGCCACTTTTGTAAAACAGATTTAGGTTAAAAGCCTTTAAATGACTATGGTGAAAATTGCAAGGAGACTTTATAAAATAAATTCTCTGCCTTTTAGAAAGTCACAAATTATAATTTGTAAAAATCATGATTTTAAGTGTGGCCTCAATTTTATTAAGTATGAAATCATAATAGTTAAGCTCAATAAAAAATAATTTAACATAGTAATTTACTGTGTTCTAACTTACTCTGGACAATTTATGATATAATTTCACATAATTATAACACTTAAAGTTCTATAACACACAAAATTATAAAAGCCTAGCTCCATTTTTGTAGTTTTTCCCCCCCCAAAAAATCACATGCAATGTCAAGACCACAGAAATTATGCTGCTTACAATAAAATCCTATTCACAAACTGATAGTGCTTTCTTCTGATTTTTCTCCATGCTTTTAAGCTCTATCATAATGGATACTACACTTTGTCTTTCGAGAAAGTCTTAAAAGAATTACTTCTGACTTCAAATATCCATTTCATAATCAAATTTGATTGCCCTCTGTTACCATTTGTTCCAAATGTACAACTTCTTTTTCATTCCTTCATCTGTATCCTTATTCTGAGTCCCAGACTTTTCCCTCTGAACTATTGTACCTCATACTTATAAGATAGCTTTTTAAAACTGTCTTTAATTCTGTCAAAGTTGTCTTCCTTTCTTGACATAATGCCACCTACCTCTTTCACCTGGGCTTTTCAAGGCCTTTACATGGTATTTTTTTTCTTCTGTGGAGCCTCATCCTCAGCTACATATTTATGAGGTTACCACTGACTTTCAACTCACCTTAAAAATGCCAGTTTCTTTTTCACTCTGACAAGTATACTGAATTCTCCAGGTAATCACACTTCCTGCTAACCCATCCAAATACGAAACTTATTTTGTATTTAGACCACAAATACATAGGTTACATGTTTAGAAAAATTTTAGACAGTAATTATGCATATGGTTTCAATTCATTGCTCATCAGTGTAATACCTTCTAAAGTGTACTTACACCAGCTACAGGCTATATAGTAAAAAGCACACTATCCAAGAACTAGTTTGTCACTTGATCAACGTAAGATACTTAAGCAAAAATATAAGAGAAAGCTTATATTTAAAAACATTCTTTTAAAAACTGTCTAGTTTAACTTTTAAATATCTACAGACTTTCACTTTTGTGCAGAGTGACATATCTTGGTTTCCACTAGACATCACTTTGATTCCTCTACTAATCTTCAAAGCATGGCTAGAATTTACAGTGCAAGGTGAAAGTTGGTATAGGGTATATACTTTCACATCCCATGATCAGATTCTTTGAAAATCACCAGTGTCTATTTTAAGACTTCTGAGGTACAATGAACCCTCACATAAGGAAATAGTTTCAACAGTAAAAGAGAATAATGTGTCTTCTGATTTGGGAGAGGAGTTACCTTGCCCAAATGGTTTAGACAAGTTTCTCTATACCAAGGATTTTCTACTAGCAAAATTCAGTAATTTGCCGGTAATGTCATGGATTGCAAAGTCGCCTAGGAAGAGAAATCCCTTTACTTAAAATTGAGTAAAAGAGGCAATGGGAATCATCTCTTCATAAAACCTAAATTAAGCATTGCACTCTGTATCTTCCCGCGGTCTCAGGGATTTTCTTTCTACCTAATAAAAGCAAGTCTCATTCAATTTAGTCCCTTCTCGAGCACCGTCTCAACCTGTCAGAATCTGACAGGGAAAGAAAAAAAAAAAAAAAAAAGATGTGGGGGAGACACTAGGATTCCCATCCACATTGCTTCTTTTTTTCGAAATCACATCAGAGACTTGGATTTCCTTCACTCTAAACTAAGCCCTCAGATTCCAAATATAGTTCTTTAACCCCCGCCTTGCCACTCCATTGCACATAAACCTTGCCAACTACAGAGCCACAGCAGAAACCCCTACAAATGGGCTGGCTATTCGTCTTGGAAGTCATGCCCTGCAGCAACTGCCTGTCGCCAAACTGAGGGATTTTTCCCAAATACAACGCAGCGGGATCAGACATGCAGAGCACACACGACTTCCGCGAGGGAGGGAAACGCGACCAAAGAAAAGTACGCTGGGCACCAGCCTAGGGACTGTCCACCTGGGGGTGGGGGTGGGGGTGGGGTGGGGTGGGGGTTCCCAGCAGGGAGGGGAGGCAGGAGCCAGAGTGGGGAAATCCTTCCTCTCGGAAGGAAAACGGCAGGAGGACCCGGGCCGCAGGCGGCACTCTGTCCCCACTAAGAAGAGGAGCGGCGAGTACAGGGCCTTTTTGCTCAGGAAAGAGGAATGCAGACTTTCTGAGGTCCGGGCAAGAGACGCTGTCCCCAGTCCCCGGAGGAGCGAGCAGTGTCCCGCGGGCAGCTGAAGGATCCCCGAGCGGCGAGGGCAGCCCGAAGCGGAGCAGAGTTCCGCCTGCCGAAGCCCCAAGTCGGAGCCGGCCCGGGCCGGGCGAGCACCGGCACAGGTGGGGAGCCGGGGCCGCGGGCGGGGGAGGGGGCGGAGGTGGGGACGGGGATCCCCCCGCGCTAGGCAGCACCGGCCCGCGAGAGCCGCGCGTTCCGGACTGCGGAGCCGGGATCCCGCCGCCCGCACCGACAGCGCGGAGCCCCGCAGCGCCCGCCGCACCTGCCCCTCGGTCCCCGGGGGCTAGGGACTTCGGCTGCGGGGGCGCTGAGGCCTGACACTCCCGGGGCCGGCCCCAGCTTCCGGGGGAACACGCGGGAACACCCCAACCTCAGCGGCTCTCGGCGGTTGTAAAACGCACCCCCTGTCCCTCCTCAGCCTTCCCCGTGCCCGAGGCCGCAGAGAGGGGCCACCCCGGGCGCAAAGCCTCGGGCAAGTCGAGGACAGCGGCCGCGGCGGCCCGGGACCTCCTCCGCCGGTTACCTGTGAGGACTCCGACGCGGATCTGATGGTCGTGGTTAGTGAGGATCATTCCCTCGGTCGCCATGTTTCCCAGCGCAGTCACCGCACTGACAGGAGCCGGGAGAAGCCGGAGCCCGGAGCGCGCGGGCCGGGAGCGCGCTCGGCTCGGGAAGCGCGAGGGGACTGGGGGTGGGGGGGAGCGCTCCCGGGCTGCGGGGAGGGGGGCGACGGGAGCGCGCGAGGCCGCGGAGGGGGCGGAGCCGGGCTTGCGGTTCCAAGTCGGCTGCGAAGAGCTGAGCGCTGGCTGGGGCGCTCGGTGGCCGCCCGAGGAAAGCGCGGAGGCGGCGAAGTAAGGTTAGAGGCGCCGAGTGGCTTCTGCAGAGCGCGAGACCCAAGACGCCCGGCTCGACGGCGAGACTGAGGGAAAACAGATCACACGCGGGGAGATTGTGGAGGCGGGCGCGGGACAGGGACAGGGGCGGAGCTACACCGCGAGGCCTGTGACTCAAAGAGTGAGGGGAGGAGTGAGCCCCGGCTCCGCGTGCTGGGAGCTGGAAGGCGCCGAGCCACCCGAGGAGGCCCGGGGGCCGGCCCTGGGCGCGCGGGTAGCGCGGGATTGGCTGAGGGAGCGCGGCGCGGGTGCGCGCGAGGCACGAAAGCCGGCGCGGCCAGGCCCCAGACAGAAGCAATCCCCCGCCGAGACTGTACTTCGGCCGTTCTTCCCCGCGGCGGAGCCACTCCGAAGAGCAACCTCGGGGGGAGCGAGGCCGACTCAAGGTGTGGGCTCTGGGAGCCGCCAGGAACCCCAGGGAAGGCGCGGGGAACCTCGAGGCGGCTTAGAAAGCAGCGTGGATGGCGGAACGGAGTTTGCAGTGACCACCCGCCGTAGGCGAAGAGGATACCGCCCTCCGTCCCGCCTCCCGCAGCTTCCTCGGTCGGCGCGCCCCGGGGAGGATTTCTCGCTTTAAGACCGCGTCTACCCGACGAGCCCGCGAGGAAAGCCGAGGGTCCAGAGCAGGGCGTCGGAAGGGGACAAAGCCGGCTTCTCTCCGCTGGCTCCGCACGGTTTGGGGCCTTAAGCGGCTTCTCCGTGACTGCTGCGTGTAGATGAAACACATCCATCTACTCAGAATAAGAAGGACACGCGTCTCCCCTGAAAAAAACCGTTGGAACAACAGCTTTCAAGTTTTATTTCAGATGTTTCTGGCATCAGAGATTACCGGGAAAGTATCTGTCTCTGCTATTTATTTCCATGTGCCTTTCATCTTATTAATCACCTGTGGCTATTTCATGTAGGTTTCTTAGTTATCTTTTTCCTGTCTTTTCTACTTGTGAAATATATCTATATATCTGTACATAGATATATTTATATGTTCTCAGTCATGGTTAAAATCTGGGGGCATAAAAATAAAAAAGCAAAGTACAGTATCAAAAAATAGACATCAGCATTTGCACACAGTTAAGATTTCATCATTTTGCTTCAACTAAAACTTTGATAGTTACGAGTTTTGTATTGTTTGAGTAAAATTACTGAGTAAAATTACTCAGCCGATTCACTGAAGAATCGCATGGTTGTGTATTTAAATGGAGTTGAAATGGGATAAGGTAAATTAGTGATTTTTCTTTTTTAGGACAGGTATTGCTGATATATTTGACAGTGGATTAAAAATTTAAAAAGGGAACCGCCCGCCTGCCCCCCCCCCTCTCTCAGCACAGGAGCTTTCTTTTTCTCAATAAATATATTCTGCTCATAAAAAAAAAAAATTAAACCAGATTCTCAGTTTGCTATAATTATCTCCATAGATCCTGGTGACCAGCAGAGATTTAACTGCTTTCAAGTGAGGGACATAATTGGGAAAGTATAGCCTAAAGAATAATTTCATTTATCTGTAAAGATGAAGAGTAAGTTGTTGTTTAGTCATTGATACTATCCACTCAGGTTTTAAATAATTAGAAAATATCTTCAACTTTTAGAGATTCTAAACCCGCTGAATAGCAAGTTCTGTACTTAAACAGATTTGGGCCTTTTCCTTCATCCTTTAAGGTGGTGGCTAAATTTCCTGTAAGTGAAAGTGTGCACTAAATAAGCACCGGTTTAACTTAGAATATTCTAAGGTTATTCATGGGAAAGGAAATAACACTCATTTCATAAATCAGTTTAAGGGCGAGATTTTCTGAATCTGTAAAAGTAGTAATGGAAAGGGCCGGCAAGCAGGTGTAGGGGCCTGAGGTGCCATCCCCAGGCCTGCCCTGTCAGTCCCGCCCCCAGGGCTTGCTGAGATGGCAATCGAGACTGGGCGTGGTAGCACATGCCTGTAATCCCAGCTCGGGAGGCTATACACAGGCGGATCACTAGGAGTCCGATCTAGTAGTGAGGCCCTGAACACCCTGTAGACCCTTCCCTAAAATAAAAATAAAAATAAATTAAAAATTTAAAAAGTAGTAATGGAAAAGTTAACATTTAATTCGAAGAACTTGAATTTAAGCCTAATTTACATCAAACTTTGTTAATGTGTTTTACCAAGTTTTGAATTAAAATGGTTGAAAATAATAGACAAATACAACAGATGTTGGCCTTCCAGTAATTTTCTCAAATGCATTCATCTCTGAAGTTTAGCAGTCTTTAACAAAATTTTACACAGGAAAAACTCTGACCTTATTGTTTAATATGACCTTTTCTTTTCACTGCTAAAGGGAGTAGCTCTATTGTCTACAGTTTTTCCCTTCTTGGTTTCATTTACCCCTGCAATGAATGTCCAAAAATATGCATTGGAAAATTCCAGAAATAAACTATTCATAAACTTTTAAGTTGCATGTCATTCTGTATGACAACCCAGATAGTCCCTACTCGGTGGTGTATGTGCTACCTACCCACTGGTCAGTCAGCAGCCTGTCCGATATCAGACTGTCTCCATTTTATTGAACAATGACTTCAAAACAAAAAACTAGTGATGCTGAATACTCCAAAAAGAAACTGTAAAGTGCTTGTTTTAAGGGAAAAGGGGAATGTGCTTGTCTTAAAGTTAAAAAAAATAAATAAAAGACCCACCTTATATTGAGATTGCTAAGAGCTATGGTAGGGACAAATAAAAAAACATTTTCCAAGCATCCATAAGGGTCTTGAAATCATAAAGGAGTATTACAGAATGAACATTTGTACTATTACATTGGAAAATTTTTTTAAAGTTCATCCCAGAATCAAGTGTTAAATTGTTTGGAAGGAGAGTAACATTTCCAAATACAACAAATGTTTCAGGAAATAAGGGACTGAGAGAGCAGTCCAGAAGTGAAGAAGTTGAGTTAGAGATGTCAAAGGATTATTTTTGTTAAGGTTAATTAAAGAATTTACATTAAATATATGACAACATGGAAGAGTTTTATTGTAGAAATTAAGTTTTTTCTAGGAGTGATGTTTTATACTAAGCCCTCAATTCTCAGGTTTCCTTTGGTTAATCAGAATTCTAGTGTATATAGAGAAGACAAAATCTTAGTGGGCTTTTCTGGAGTCAGAAAATATTTCTTTATGCCAGTAAAAATTAAGGAGTAGACTATACTTTCTCTAAGACTTATTCTACTATTTCCTCTCTCCTGTTTGGCTAATGTCTACAACTAAAATTGAGTGTATTAAATGGTCCAAACAGCTTTTGAATATACAGTAAGTCGCTGACTTATGAAAGAGTTGTGTTCTAGGAGAGATTTTGTAAGTTGGAGTCCTTTGTAAGTCTGGCAAAGTGAGTCTTACACACCTTTGACAAAAATGTACAATATAAAGCATAAAAAATCTTTGCATCATCCATGATCTTTTCATTGCTCTTTAGAATTGTGCCAATGGGTGAATGATTCATGTTATAAGAATAAGTGGTGTCTACCATCTTTTCACTCCATCCAGCCTCTCAGTTATTTTCACTTGTTTCCATGGTATTGCTTTGTGCTTCCTAGCATTCCCCTCCACATCATCACTGCTGTGATTGAGCACCATACCACTGTACACTCTGGAAGTGTACAGTTTTGGTTTCATTAATCTTTTGTGTATTTTCATTGCCTATTTCATTTATTTATGCTCTTTATTACTTTTACTAATTTTGAGTTATGTTCTTGTTTTTCTACTTCTTAAGTTTAACATTGTTTGCTATATTCATTCACTTCTAATATAGGCAATTATGTCTGTGAATTTCCCTGAGAAGTACTACTGTATCTTGTATGCTTAGGTATGTTGTATTTCCGTTTTTGTCTCAAAATTTTTTGAAATTTGTTTTTTAATTTGTTTTTGACCCATTGGTTGTTCAAGGGCATGTTTGGTTTTTCCTTTTTTATTAGTGCATATTATACAAAATAATGGGTTTCATTGCAACATTTTCATACATGCATATAACATACTTTGAGCAGGTTGTTCTTCCAGTGCCCAACCCTTTCTCTTTCTACTCATTCTCCCTAATTCCCTTTCTTTTCTCTGATACTCTCTCTACTGTCATGTCTTCTCCCTAGATTTCAATATGAAAGAAAAAATTAATTATTGTCTTTCTGAATCTGGTTTATTTTGTTTAACATGATTTCTGGTTCTGTCCATTTTCCTGCAAATGACATGATTTCTTTCTTTATAGCTTAATAATACGCTGTCATCTGAGCTGCCTAGTAAGATCTTGTACCAAATAAATAAATGATTTTTAAAAATTATATATATATATATATGTACTGTTTTATTTATCCATTAATCATATAATTGACACCTAGACTGACTCTATAGGCTATGATGAATAGTGCTACACAGATATTTGTAGTATGTGTACTTTGATTCTTTCCAGTATATACCAAGCAGTTGAACCCCTGGATCATATGGTAGTTCTAGTTTCATTTTTGAAGAACTTTCATGCTTATTTTTATACTGGCTGTAGTAATTTACATTCTCACCAATAGTGTATAAATACTACTTTTTGCATGCATCATCAGTATGTATGATTTTTTGTATGTTTTTGTAATAATGATAACTATTCTAACTACAGTGTGATAGATGACAACACAGTTTCAGTTTGTATTTCCCTGGTGGCTAAATATGGCTGATTTTTTTTTCATATAGCTACTTGTTATTTTATATGTCTTTTCAGAAGTGTATTTTCAGTTTGTTCATTTATTAATTGGATTTTTTATATGTTCATTTTGTATTCTGTTACTTTCATGAATTTTGTT